CACACTGACCCTGCACTTTGCGTCACACTGACCCTGCACTTTGCGTCACACTGACCTCGACCTCTGCGCTGTGGGTCACTATGACCTCTGCGCTGTGGGTCACTATGACCTCTTCACTGTGCGTCACTATGACCTATGCGCTGTGCTTCACACTGACCTCTGCGCTGTGTGTCACACTGACCTGTGCTGTACGTCACACTAACCTCTGCACTGTGCGTCACACTGACCTCTGCACTGTGTGTCTCACTGACCCTGCGCTGTGCGTCACACTGACCCTGCACTTTGCGTCACACTGACCCTGCACTGTGCGTCACACTGACCCTGCACTGTGCGTCACTCTGACCTCTGCGCTGTGGGTCACTATGACCTTTGCGCTGTGGGTCAATATGACCTCTTCGCTGTGCGTCACACTGACCTCTTCGATGTGCGTCACTATGACCTCTGCGCTGTGGGTCACTATGACCTCTTCGCTGTGCGTCACACTGACCTCTTCGATGTGCATCACTATGACCTCTGCGCTGTGCTTCACACTGACCTCTGCGCTGTGCGTCACACTGACCTGCGCTGTGCGTCACACTAACCTCTGCACTGCGCGTTACACTGACCTCTGCACTGTGCATCTCACTGACCCTGCGCTGAGCGTCACTCTGACCTCTGCGCTGTCCGGGGCAGGGTAGGGGTTAGGTGGGGCAACTGGTGGCGAGTAACTTTTAAGGCCTGGCTAGTAGCTCAGGACTTGAAATTTTCTTTAAACCAAATAAAATTATGACTACACTGGTATTCTCTGCAAGGTGTACTTGATACTTTATCTTTTACGTGATAAATAGTTATTATCTTAAATTATGTGTCTCATATGTAAACATCTACTTATACAGTATACTACCACCAAGATTTTTCTGCATAAAAAAGTATTTACAAATTATATTCAAATGCCTCTTTGTAAAAGTGCCATGAAATGAATCTAATGAAATTTATAATGAAATGTAGCACTATTTGTTTGTAATCATAAACATCTACAAAGCATAACCATGTGACATATAGTCCATCTCATTTGTTCTGAAAAATAAACATCATATTTATAAACAGTCTGTGCTTCACTGCTCACCATGTGCTTTGTAATGTATCTTTACAGTTACACCTGTATTTGTGAACACCACATCCACCCAAAATTGAAAAGCGTCTCACCCCTTTAGTTGCCTCTCTGTTTATGGAAAGGCAGAGATCACATGAGGGTCAAGATGTTTTCCTCATTATTTCAAATTAGCCCTGGCTGAGTTTCAGGTTGTCAGAGGTCAAAGCTGCACACGTTAATGCACCCTCACATGTATCATATATGCCGGAAAGGTGAGGATAAAAAAATAGGAGCCTCACATAGCTTAAAACCATTAAAGTATTTAATAAATTAGAAATTAAAAACACCAATTACATTTTAATTGTGCCAAGCAGCACTATAACAGCATCATACAATACCACATACAAAGTGCTCTAGTATTTTGCTCATCACAGTGGTTCTACCCATATGTAGGTCTCCCTACAGATTTAAAATCACTAATCTCTTTCTTGTGTGACTCTTCCAGGTGGGAGACATAGCGCTCCATGTCATGGCGGGTCCGTCGAGATTCTATGTATGACCGAAGGTCACAGTCAATCTCTGTTACAGTAGATCTTGGAGATAGGCTCCTGGAGTTATGTGGCCTTCCCACTCCCTGCCGGCAGGGAAAGGGACCCCTTGGAGCTAGCTGGAGAACTGGAAGCAGAGTGCACTCAGTGCCATCTTTGTTCCCTTGGCTATTAAGGCTTGTGAGACAAAAAAGTGGACAATGCCTCTCTTCACCCTTATAACGGGTGTAGTGGCCAGTTTCTGCTTTTAATTTCCCATGTGGGGCAATTTGTAGCTGAATTAACCAGCTAACATACTACTTACAAATCAGACTTAACAGTCATAGTTAAAGTGACAAAAAAATCAGAAGTTAAATTTTAAAAATGCATTCAAGTACCTTAACTATTAACAAAAATGTAGCTTATTTGTATATCACTCAGCTGTAGTTCCTCAGATAATCTATGAATTTGTGCTGACACTGTCCCTCCTTCTGGGGGGTGTCTTGTTTGTTCCCAATGGTCCCTGTTCGTGTTGTAAAGTAGCCACAATGTACTCCCATGATGGACTACAATTCATATTTACATTACTAATTTGTATTACCATTATACCCTATCACAGGAGTGAGCTTGGAGCGGTGCTACTTTACAACACATGCAGGGACCATGGGCACAAATAAACTCATTCAAGTCGGTTTTGCAATTTAACTCCTGAGTTTAGTGTCACTTTAAATATCTTACTGTGTATTTCATTTTAGACGTTGTTCTAATTGCTTCCTCTGTTTTTGCTCTTTCTTTCTACATAGCTAGATTTCTCCCTCCCAAAACCTTATTAACTTGACACACCAAGCATTGGATAGGTATTAATGAATGTGTGGGCTCCTTATTATGCTAAACCAGTCTATATGCACTTCAGAATCAGGTAGATGCTCCAAGAAGGATAGATAAGGAAAGAAGTGGGCCTCTAAAGACCCCAACTTTGTTCTGCTTACCTCTTTGCTTCATTATTAGAAATACACATGCACATGAATTAATTAAAAACACAAATCTAAGTCATGTCTTCTGTTCACCTTTGTGTAGTACCATGTTTTCTCTTTATTTAAATTTTTCTGCAAGGCTTACATTTTGTTAAGGAGGCATCCTGCATTTTCTATTGAATGAATAAAATAATTCAGAATAACAGCATGGGAACTAGAAATCTATCAAACTCCCACGTTCCAGTAATACTGAATCCCTATGAGGCTGGATTTTAAATAATTAAATTTTTATTCAATAAGGTGAAGTGAGATTTAAGTTTTCTTTGGAAGAACCTTTATTGCTTTATTTATCATTTTTGTTTTGGTAGGTAAGGAGGTAACATCTTTGAGATGGAATAACATTTTCCAAAACTCCTTTATTTAAAATGGACCTTACATAACATAAGAATTTTTTAAATGCAAACACTCTGAAATTGCAAGTTAGAATTCTGCATTCATGGATACTTGCAAATCTGTGTTGCCTTTTTCATTATCCATAATTCATATTATCCATACCCTATCATACTTAGTTTGTTCATCAGGATTAGTGGGAGGTGATAAAGGGATCCTATCATCTGATGTAATTAGTACCTTACAGGAAATTATCTGTAGTAGGGAAGAATTAATCTGCCTGGGTTTGGTTTTCAGGGGGTTCATCAATTCCTTCTTCAAGTCTTAAAAACCCAAACCTCGGAGGTAGCAAGCACAATAGCCGAGCCATATGCCACTCCAGAGATTCAGAGAATCCAGAGATTCAGATTGTCAAACTGATTTCTTTATAGCTACTCAACACTTACATTCCTGTTTTGCGTATGCCTCCTTCTGTATTCCCACAAGTGTTTTCGGAGAGCAAAACCACAGAACAATGTTAGCTTTTCTACATGGTGTAAGAGGTACTGTCTCAACTGGCATTGGCAGCCAGTTTGTCATGCACTTTTGTTCAGCAAATCAGGAAACAAACAATGCAAGATGGCTTTGTACTAGAACTTCAGAGCATAATACAAACAAAAGATCTGCTTGTCGGATCTACTAAATAAACTCAAACGTGTTTATCTATTAGCTGTCAGCCTTTTCACATACCAGCAGGTTCCCACAGCACAAGGAGCACGAAAGAGCCATTATCATCAGTTAGCTCACAAGGCCTGTGTACAGCAGTGATTAATAGGAAGGTCTGGCTGCCAGGTAAGATTTGGACCTTGGAATAGAGGCTTCATCCCAGCCAAACCTTTTCAAAGCCTCTTGGTTACAGGGCCCACAACATGACCTATTAAGTTTGTTTTCTCCATCAGTCATAAATCAGTCATAAGTCATAAATCTGCAAGCCCCTCTCTCTTTGTAAGGGAAAAACCTAGGTGGTACTCATATAATGTGCACAATCCTGCCAACTAGCGCCCCACAATAGGTCTTTGGAATCTGCTTTATAAATACATTTGTACAACCTTTTAAAAGTGTCTCAGGTAAAGTAGTTGAATTGTTAATTGTTTCTTACAAAGAAGACCAGTGCATTTCATATATTTCGGCTTCTATTCCTGTGTGACATTTTCTAGGTATATCTGTCATTAAGAATGCACTGGGAATGCATAGTGCAGACCTTATGCCTAATTGACTATATGATTTAAATTAGGTACTCCCTTTTGTAGTAATATAAATCAAAAAAGTAACAAGGATCCTGGAGAACAGTGGGACAAGATGAGAATAAAGGAATAAAATGTTGTCTCTCATGGACACCCATTACTGTACTTTTTCTGTATTCATAAAAATTCACTGAGATTTGATCTGTAGTATAGAGATGTTGCTGGCAGATAGATCAAATGTGTTTTCATTGTTATTTTTTATGTTCTGACAGAAAAATACTTGTTTATGGCAGGCTTTATTATTCAGTTCTAGAGGGTGTAGGTAGGGTTAAAATCACCAGTGGGGAAATGCAAATACAACTATGGCCATTACTTTCAGTAAGAAAAATGATATTCAAATTGTTAAAAAAAACTATATATCTATATATATATATATAAAATATAAATGCATTGCTGAAGCCTAATCCTAATTCAAAGAAACAGATTTTTCATTATGAACCATTATGTGTCACGGATTGTAATTATGGTTATGTTACCATAATGCTTGTTTTGCCAAGCACTTATCAGAGAAAGAAGTGTAAAACTAAGAAAAGAGGTACCACCGAAATCATTTTGATCAAAGTATAATGTTGACATTTTATAAAAAGCATTTCAGGTTTTGACATTTAGCTCCACTCTTGCCGAGGTAACTTTTACAGGGAATAAAGAAAGTGCTTAATACCACTTGAGTTCTCATAATCATTGGACTGAGTGAAAAGTTAATGTGTCTGACATTGTTTGTAATGTGTTTTATATTGTTATGCTTTATTTGCAGAGTACAAGTAGAATTTTATGTGAATGAAAACACCTTTAAAGAAAGATTGAAGCTTTTCTTCATTAAAAACCAAAGATCAAGTAAGTGGTGTAAATGGTTTGTGATTAATTTCAGGACATAAAAAGCTTCTTTAAAAAGGATCTTTACCCATAACTTTGAAATGACAACAAAGACACCTTTAGAAATGTTTTGTAATGGCAATCTACAAACAGATACCTATAGATATTTTTTATTTTTTTGCATACCTTATTTTTCTTTTTCTCCCTATTCTTCTTACAGTGGCCATTTTTACTAAGGGCAGATAAATATAACTCCCATTACTTCCTGGAACTCTGGCACATGTGACTAGGACATGTGACCATAACCATCATCTTAGGGGAAAAATGCCTTTCCCTGAGATCTTGTGAGATTACAGATGAGATTTCAAGGCAATGCTCTGCTAATGTAACCTTCCCAGGATGCAAGCTTTAATGCATCACAATAGGGCCGAATGTTGCAAACAGTGTTTTGGGCAATGCAGCAATATTCTTCTACCCAAGTTCTGATTTAGGCTCCTTTGTAAAGCCATAAGATTAGGTCCTCTTTTCTGGTCTGCTGCCTTAACTCTTTACATTTACCAGTTATAATCACATTTCACCTACAGGTACATCTGTGTATGACATATGATACAGCAGCTGGTTAATGCTGATAGAGGGTTTTGAACTGAGGACCTTTTCTTTGTAAAAAAGAATACATCTAGATTATAATTAGTTTAAATGTGTCTCTCAGTGGATGCTGTAACCCTCTTCAATGTTGGCTGAAAACAGCAATAATGAACATGACAAAAGGCTAGCTAAGGTACCACATTTTAAGGCTCTTCTGTTAATGGCAGACAATGTAATATGCCAGATTTGTTCCATCAAATAATGTGCTTACCTGCACATCTAAATAGTGTAAAAAAGGTTTTCAAACCCACAAAAGTAGTTTAAGTGACACTAAACTAATGGAGTTTAATCTTAAAAATGCATTCAAGTACCTAAATTTTAAACAAAAATATTGCTTATTTGTACTCAGCTCACTAAGCTGTAGATCCTCAAATCATCTCTGAATTCATGCTGACACTATCCTTCCTTCTGAAGGGTGGTTTCTTTTGTTCGCTAGGGTCCCTGTATGTGGTGTAAAGTAGCCACCACTCCAAGCTCACTCCAGTGATGGACTGCAAAGGAAGACAAATATACACAGACATACCTCATTCACACAGCATACTGCCCTTCTGATTAATGGTCGGGATACAACATACAATATGAGTTGCACAGCTGCAGTTACTGTGTGGGTCAACAGTGAAATGTATTACCACATGAGGAAGTAATGGCAAACCAATATAAAATTTTAAAAATGACTTAATTTTTTTCTGACCCACAATATCCAGAATGATAATTATAAAAGGCTAAGAGAGCAATATATTGACCCATAAAATTGGCCTGTCAGATCTTTGGTGGTAGGAAAGTCAATGATTATTATTTTTTTCTTCTGTGTGTCAGCATTGCCAACAGTTGCATAGTGGTCTGTTTAGTCTTTTTTAAAGAACACAATTCTTTTTCAACTTCTCACTTACAATACTGTTGGAGACACATGGATAAATGTTTTTAAGCTCACATACACTTACTGTAACTAGATATCCAGTGAACTGGATGTATAAAAACCTTTCACAGAATTACTCATTCAAAGTTACATTTTTGTTTTGTTTTTAATTATACAACATCTATGACTTTATTGTCCTACATAATGAATGAACAGTAAATTAAGGTTTTGTACCAAAACAAAGTAAAACATTCAAAAATGCATTCTGAGTTTACTGTTATTGCAAGTAAACAGCCCAGCAGAATTATGGTAGCAGCTGTTGTACTGTATGCTACAGCAGGTACATCATATTCAGTGTTTTGTCTTTAGTCTGCCAGATGGTTGGATCAGATGGTAGAAGACCAAAATGTTACACAGAGCAATAGTGCATTTTGCTGATTTTTTTGCATAGAACTGTTCAGGATTTTTGAAAATGCTAATTGCAATTAAACACAGATTACTATCTCATCCCTGAACAACACAAATATAGGTGACATTCTTAGCTGTCATACGGCAACAAATACTGGGCTGGTATGTCTTGTAAAACTAAAATACATAGAGGGGAATTTATAAAAACTGGAGTAGACAGAATCTGGAGCAGCTGCCCATAGAAACCAATCAGCTTATCTCTTAATTGAAAATAACTTGGAGAGAAGCTGATTGGTTGATATGGGCCACTGCTCCAGACTCTGTCTGCTCCAGTTTTAATGAACTTCCCCCACACATATTGCAGGCCTATACTGGAGAGCAAGCTGGTTACAATTAATTTAAACTGAGCAGTTGTGGTGCCTCTTGTTAACTTTTTTTAACAACACAGAAAGTTAAATAATTTTGAAATTACATCTGACCATCTGAGGACAGGAATTCAAAGAAATAATATATTCTTATGTACCCCACTTGACTATGAATATTAATAAGAAAAATGACATCTCTAGTCAGACCCATTTTCAAATGATCATGTGTGAGGTGAGCAACAGCAATTAGTGTTGATGAACACATATACACTATCACACAATTGTGAGCACACACATGTCTTGAGTTAATGGGGAAAAATGCAGCCTTTATAGCCTTTTGCACCATAATTATTTACAAAAATGTACCTTATTTGTGTATAATTAATCTTTAGATCCTCAAATCATCTCTGAATTCATGCTGGCACTGCCCTTCCTTCTGGAGGGTGGCTACTTTGGTTCCCCATTGTCCCCAGTGTGTGTTGTAAAATAGCCACCACTCCAAGCGCGCTCATGCAATAGACTATATCTTGAATACAAATTAGTAAACTAAATGTGAGATTGCAGTCCATCATGGGAGTGAGCTTGGAGCAATGGTTACTGTACAACACACACAGTGAGCATGGGGAACAAAAGTAGCCACCCTCCAGAAGAAAGGACAGTGTCAGCAACAATTCAGAGATAATTTGAGGATCTACAGCTGTGTGATACACACATATGCAACATTTTTATGTTAATAGTTAGGGTACTTTAATGCATTTTCAAAATTTAACTACTGAGTTTAGTGTCACTTTAGGCCTAAAAGTGGCTTTTAAAGATTGTCTGTGAAATTCATACTTATTAGAAATCTGTTTCACTGCAGGGTGACAAATAGTGCAACTTGAAACAGATTCACTTAAGTTTCAGTAAGGTGCATCTAAAGCTGTCACAAATCTTACAGCAGTGTTGCACAATTTACTTTAAGCCGGAAGAGGTTGGTAAATACCTCCACCCTATTTTATCACCCAAATTGCAATATTTCTCTGTGCATTTGTTACAACAGTATTGCCAGATAGTAAAAGAATTGCAAATAGGAAATACTTAAAATAGTTGCATGTGCTGGTACTAACAATGAAAATGTTGCATGGGTTTGATGAATTTAGCACAAGGCTTCTGACTACATCCACACTGCCAGAAATGTACTGCAGATGCCTTATTGAATTGCCCAGTCTGTCTTTTAGCTGTTTAAACTGAAAGAAACTAGTCCTAACCATTTCTCTAATGATTTGTATCATTTTTCCAATGTAAATCTAATTAAACTGCTGCAAGCTGTTGTTTTGGGAACCAGATATTTGAAAGGGGAGAGACATTTCTCCAGAAAAGCATTTCATTGCTACATTGCAATGGGCAGATGTCTCAAAGAACTACAGTTCTTGATGGGTATATCTGCCCAGTCCCTGAGCTACATAAAACTGGAAACATGCTTCACAACAATTGAAGCCTTAGGTGGAGGTTGTACAAATACTAATTAAAAAATGATTCACTTGTCAACTTTGACAATATGTAAACATTCTAAGGTATTTCACTAGTATACCCTTCCAGAGAGAAATACGGGGTGACATTGCTGACACCTGTTTAAAAATACTTGTTGCCTGGCTGTAAGGCTGGCCTACTAGTGTCACTGACAGCAAAATCAAACTCAGTGAGATGAGTTGGTACATTGGGTTACCACATCCAGTTTCAAAGTATATGGACAAATTCTAAATAGTGGACTTTTAAGGTACCCATTCAGAACACTGTGTTGAATTTTGGAAAATGGATCCCTTAATAACACAGTAGACTCACTAAATCCCATCAATTACACCTTCTATATGTGTGTTAAAGTAAATATTGCTAGATTTCATCTACCATGCTTCACAATATTTATCACATTTCAAGAGAGGTAGTCAAATGGATTTGGCATACAAGTCACTGGCTTTTAAAAATACCAGGAAAAACAGCAATCAGGGAAAAGTCATGAGTCCTTATTTGCTTTTTTAAGTTCACAGACTGAAAGTATTGAAGCTGGGAAAGGGGTGCGGATCGGCATGACAGCCAGTTGAATTGCATTTTTAAGGAAGTGGTCAACAATAGCAGCCTCTATGTTTCTCCTATGAAAAATTATTTAAATGATAAGTGCACTTTTAACAAAGTTGCGCATTTAAAGAAAATGGGTAAGCCTTCATTAGATATATTTTATCAAACCTTTGTGGAAAATTGTGTGCATTTAACAAATTCCTAGTATTATACATCTAATAACTTCTCTTCACAGATTCAATATTTCTTATCTCAGAAAAAAAGGGCTTTTAGATTACAGGCCACAGTTCAATAAAAACAAGTTAAAATCACACATTCATCTATAAAAGAACATCCAATATGTGTGATTTCTTAATTAAAAATATTATTGTATAAGAATTTCCTCTTTAGCTGTCTAAGAAATATTTTAAAGCTGAACCCAGGCAGATGCTGCATCCCATATTTGTGCCTGATTATATGGAGGTGTTCAGGAGCCAATGAGCTGTTGTGCAGGCAATAAAAACCAACACTGTCTTCATGTGATTTTTTTGACAGGTATGGAATAGGGTTAGACTTACAGATACAGTGTTGGAATTAGATTTATAAACAGGGCTGGACCAGGTTAAGGTCTAGTGCAAGACTTAAGGCTTGACAAGAGGAAGTATTTTGAATAAAGTGACACCAAACTCAGGAGTTAGATCTTAACAATGCATTCA